CTTATCCAATCTAATCCTTTTCCCAGGTTAGACTGACATACCTCCATGGTGGCCTTCTTGGTTCCTACTGCACATTGGCTTACCTCCCCCTGTATTGTTTTCTCTCTTCCCCAAGTGACCTGGGAGGAACAGACTCCTGGTTCCCTGGGGAGTGTGTGAAGCTGTACCTTCCTGAAGAAGCCAGCCGGCTTCTGGTCCTTAGGTGATTATGCCTAATAATGCCTGATTTCCTTTGCTCCCCTCCTTTGTAAGAGCTATCTATGCTAACACACCCACTGGAGAGTGAATAAATAACACATGATATATTCATTCAAAGAAATGCTCTACAGCAGTGGAAATGAATAAATTTACAGCTACCTGTATGCCCACAGATGAAGCAAGATGCAGAAGAAAATATACAGGAAGATCCCATTGACATACAAATTTAAAACATAAAAAACCCTACATATATTGCTTGAGAATATATACATAAATAATAAAATTATAACAAAGTGCACGGAAATGAAAAACACCAAATTTAGGAAAATCAATTTTATTTGGGGAAAGAAAATGTGATCACAAAGTAAATACTACTAGTAATGCTCTACTTCTTAAGCTGTTTATTCCTTGACACAGTTTCTGAGTGCATTAATCTGCATACCTTTTTATAAGTCTAAAATGTGTCATAGTATATTCAAAAGAAAAACTGAGTTTCCCCTTGAGTTTTCAGTTCTGGCCTCACAGGGTTGGGGAGAAGCAGGGAACAGGCTGCTGCCATCCCCCTGGCCACAAATTCCCTAGGTCACGAGTTCCGCATCCACCTGTTTCGGAACTTGCTTACAGGTCTAGTGCGACAGAAAAGCATTGTGGGGTGATGGCGCATATGGACAAGATGAGGGGGTATGCTGAGCAGCTCATGGACTATGTGAGGCTGGGAGATACCAACCAACAAGACGCGCGTGGGTGACTTCTGGCTCACAAACACTTGATCCCAAAGCAGTTTCAAGTACTGGCCCTTTGGTACCGAGGTCAGAATGGGGACCACACAAGAATGCTGCAGATTCCAAATTGGAAAAAGCATGATTTGGCTTAGATGGCAGTCATCAAGTATAAAGGGAACTGCCTCCCACCCATTTTCATAGGAATCATTTTCATGAACACCTGTAATAGGGTTTTATATCTTCCCCAGATGTTATCTTCAGTTCCACAACATCAATGAAAGTCATTAAACTATTTTGCCCTATCTAGTTTGGCTTATTGGATAGATGTTGGCCTGCGAACTGAAGGGTCCCAGATTTGATTCTGGTCTGGGGCACGTACCTACGGTGCAGACTCATCCCTGGCCCTGGTCAAGGTGCATGCAGGAGACAATCAACGTCGCTCTGTCGTCTCTCCCCCTCCCTTACAATCTTTCTAAAAAAACAAAAAAACAAAAAAACAATGGAAAACTATCCTCAGCAGAGGATTAACAGAAGTCATTAAACTTAAAATGATGAGAATCATTGATGGCTGCCTCCTAGACGACCCACGGTGGGGATGGAGCCAACAACCCAGGCATGTGTCCTGACCAGAATCAGTGACCTCCTAGTTCATAGATCAAGGATCAACCACTGACCACTGAACAACACCAGCCGGGCAGTCATTAAACTATTTTTTAAAATTGTGATATTTTGCCTTTTAAGTAAATTATTAAGACACTTTTATGTGTAACAATTGAAGCTTTGCAGTAATGACTATTTTCTTTCTTGTTTTTGTTAGATGTTTTATGAGTAAGTTCATAAATCTAAATTGCAATAAATCCATATTAATAAGTTTTATTAAATATTTCAGGCCTAAAAATCCTTGACTTTATTTAACATTAACAGCACAGTAGATGGTGTTGACAATTTGTGGTGTGTTTTTTTTTATTCCTCACCTGGGGATATGATGTTTTTTTATTAATTTGAGAGAGAGGCAGAGGGAGAGAAACACTGATGTGAGAGAGATTGATTTTACAGAGAGAAGGGAGGAAGGGTTGGAGGGAGGGAGCAAGGGAGAGTGAGAAAGCAAAACATTCATGTGAGAGAGAAACGTGCCCCAACTGGGGATCAAAACCACAACCCACATGAACAAACAGAATATACTAGCATCTTAAAACCCCAATCCAAGTACCCTCTTTCAGTTACTTCATTCCCACTTAGGAGTAACCAAGATCCTATTTTTGTACTTTACATAAATAGATCCATAAAGCATATATTCTTTTGTGTCTGGCCTTTTTTGTTCAATATTAGGTTTTTGAGATCATCCAAAATCTTACATGTAGTTATAGCTCTTGCAATCTTTTTTTTTTTTTCTCTTGCAATCTTATTGTTTTCTCTTGTGACATAATTTGACTATTTGGGTTGTTTCCAATTTTGGATATTACTAATGATGCTATGAACACTCACAGCATCTAAGTCAAAAAAATCTCAGTGGTAGCACCAGTATCCCACTCAACTATTCAGAAGGGGTGCTGAAGGATTTTTTTTCAAGCTCTTGCAAACTATAGATTAGTCCGGCTGGTGTGGATCAGTTGATTGAGCATCATCCCATGCACCAGCAGGTCACTGGAATCGAACCAGTGACCTGCTGGTGCATGGGGTTCCATTTTCAATCCCCAGTAGGGGGCATGCAGGAGGCAGCTGATCGATGTTTTGCTCTCACATTGATGTTTTGTTTTCACATTGATGTTTCTATTTCTCCCTCTCCCTTTCTCTCTCTGAAATCAATATAAACATGTTTTTTAAAAAACTATAAATATCTTAAAGTAAAAACTTGTGGATATCTTGGAGAAAATTAATAAAGGTAAAACCAGGATTACTACCAATACAAAATGTAAGTAAGGAATTATTTTTACTAATGCCATTTTAATCATTCTGATATCTTTCCTTAAATTAACCTTTAAATTGCAATCTCAGCATATGAAAAGAAATTTAAGTGAGAGACCTAACCCTAAGCTTTATGTTTAATTATATATGGCTGCACAGGGAATATTTTTTTTAGCTATTTCTTTTCAGACCATTACACTCCATAAAGACATGCTAGGATTAAGAATTTATACCAGTTTGTTAAAAGTAAATGTATTCACAAAGTGCAAATTTCTTCAGAAAATATCATGATTTCAAGTGCAAAGATGTAAGAATGTCTAGTATTCACTGATGTCAAAATCATTATTTCGGGATTTATTTAAAAAGTGGCAACAGATTCTCAAACACACAAACTACTGCCAGGAAATTATACACATGAGGAAAAGAGCTCTTGTAAATCAGTTTCTAATGGGAAATTAAAATGTAGTACAAAGATATAATACAAGGGTTTAACAACTAAAGAAACCATCTATGAAAGAGGATAATAAAATACCATTATTTTGTTTATGTGACTAAAATATCAGAGCAGAGAGTTCTGAGGGCGATTTTTAGCTCTGTTAAGACCTACTTCAGACTGCCATGCCATGCAATCAGAAAGAATTATATTAACACAAATCTAAATCCTGTAATAGGTCGTTTTCAACACTATGAGACAATCTATGGCTCCGCATCCTGAATGTTGTTCTCCTTTGTTGCAAAGAGAAAAACAATAAATGCAACTTGTTCAAATACCAAAAAAAGAGAGAACTGTACGGAAGTAAGATATTTTAACAAACATGTGACACATACAAAAAGAAACAAACAAAAAGGCAAAACAAACATGTCACAATTCCCTGAAGTCTAAAAATAACTAAATATGCCTTGATAAAAATATAAAAGATAAGTAATAATCATTTTAAAATATTCTATTGGTTTGGCTAAATATGAAAAATATTTTTATTAGTTTGAAGAAGCATTATTTTATTCATTTTATTACATCAAATTTTAAAAGAAACTGACTAAATTTTAAACATTATTTAAACAAAAATATCTACCTCATTTTAAGTCAATGCAAATTTCACTCATTTAGAACTCTGTACTAGCATATTAACATTTGGGGAATTTTTGGAAAGATACATTATTACATATAAAACTGTTTTATAAGACCTTAGGGATAAGAAATGGTTCATAAAACTTTACAAATCTTCCTAAACAATGTTTAATACAATGAAAATTATATATAGACTGATTTTTAATAAAAATTTCAATTATTTTACAATCAATTTGAAACAGAAGTAAATATTCCTCATAATTGTTTTGAGGACTAACATTCATCAGGATTACTATAGCTGTTAATACTTAAAACATACACTAAAAGAGACTATTGGCTATTTCTGTTCTAGAAATACTAATGAACTAAATAATTAGGTTGGAAATCATGATTTAAAATCAATATGACTTAGAAAACACTATATAAAAATTCAAGGAGAGAACATTGTTATGGTCAACTTATCATTATTAGTTGTAGCAGTACTGTATTTTGCACACATTTACAAATCATGTTTTCAAACTGACAATGTGATTTAACTACTTTGCTCATTAACATATGAAGATGTTGTCTGAGCTTGAAACATTAAAACTGTATTATATATACCCCAAACAGGGCAATTTACAAGATTATATGAGTTATTCTGAAAACCTTTTTAGAACACAAATACCTCATTTTATCTCACATCATTATGAATAAATATGATAGCTTAAAAATATTAAACCTTTTTGTTTTTATGTACTTTGTCCTAAAGTACCTTGACTTATTGCTTAGTGAAATTCTATACCCTAGTATGGATCCTCAAGCTTTTAGGAAAAGGTTCCAGGGTCAAGAATATGGACATCAAATATAATAATTCAGTGTAACAATGTATTAATCCTCAGGAATTCCTTCAGTATGACAAATATTTACTTTACAGTTACTGCTTCTGTAGCTATAGGTCCTTCCTCACAACATATTATTTAGGTTCCAGAAGTTCCATCCCTCTGGTGCTTCCAATCTGTTTTCTTAAACTTGTTTAAAATATCAGCATATGAAATTTTCCACATTATTCTGGTTCAAAGGTAGAGACTCACTTTTCCTGCAGCCCAAAGTAAGTTTTTTCTTTCTTTTTTCAAGGGAGAGAGGGTAAAAGGGAGAGAGATGGGCTTGATATCTTGCTAATTTACAGGCTAGTTCAGAATTGCTGGATATTTCCTGATGGAAAAGATCGCTGAAGGAAAACATACCAAGAGGTGGCCATGTTATCATACTGAGGGCAGCAGTTAACTCTTTCAGCTCAGAACAGAACAAATACAATTTGCTAATAGTTAGGCATTTGCTATTTTATGAACATAAATATTTTATCTACTTTACAAGGTAATATTAACTAAAGGTAGATATAAAGTCTATGAAGTTATTTGCAACAAAAATTTCACTAGCTAAAATTTATTACTATTTCCCCCCTTAGGAAATATTGTACATCTGTTAGAGTGCCTGATACTTGTTAAAATATCAAGTAATACAGGACAAGGTGTTAGAACACAAAACAAACAGCTAGGAAGCACTTATTTTTTTCTACTTCATGTAACATTTTTTAGGACCACAAGATTTTAAAGGTCTCTTTCAAGCAACTTTTATGACTTAGGAATACCACTTAAAAACATTTACTGATGCTATAAATATTACTGCTTTTCTACATATTAATAATTTTAATGAATGTCATATCCATTATACCTTTTGCTCCTTTGGTCAGAAGATAAACAGAAACTTTTAATGTATAGATATTAAAAAATGGTTTTTAAAAACACCCAAACAAACCAAATCTATATCAACATATGTTAAAATTAGTTTTAGTTGTTATTATTAAGAATTTTAACAAGGACATACTGAAACATGTATGAGATTTTAAAATTAATTAAAAAACAAATTTAAATTTATAAATAAAAAGATTAATGGCCAAATTGAAAAAAATTTTAAGCATCAGATTTAAAATATCTTCATTTTTCGCTATTCAGAAATATATTTTGTTAATAAGAATTATTTCATAAATATATATGTATAAATATAAATATAAATCTACAAGATCTACAGTGAAGAGAAATCCTTTAAAGAAAAAAATTGCACTTTTAGATTATCAGGATGTTGTCATATTTACCCTTTAAGTGAAGTGTAATTACCATTCCAGGTGCTTTGGGCACAAATTTTTAGGAGAATAGCAACACAACCTTAAAAACACAATGCTTTTATATTTTATTGACTGGAATATGAAGAATCAAACAGAATTTAGAATTCTGAGAAAAAAAAAATCCAGATAACTGCAATTGCTTAATTAAATCCAAAAACAAAATATTGTTTTAAAAAAGCCTTAAACCTCTCTTTATATCTGGAACATGTAAAATTTTATCAGCAACAGCTTTTCTTCAATCCATTCAGCAAGAATTCCCAACCTTCACGCAAAGGTAACATTGTCTTTTTCTACTCACATGTGACTTAGATCATACTCCAGTATATAAGGACAAAAAATAAATGTATAATAAAAAGATTGGATAAATCAGGAGAGGCTTTTTGGTCTTGAATTCTTCACCCACTAACAATGAAGCAGCACTGTAGGCAGCCCAAAAAACACCAAACAGCTTTAAAAAACAAACAAAAAAGACAAAGGGCAGCATTATTAGCAAGTCAATTAACATTTTGCATATTATAGAGTAAAAATAATATTTACAATATTGTTTAAAACAACCCTGACAACCAATGGTGGTAAACATAAAACTTACTGAGAATGTTTAAAACTTCCAAGAATGGCCCTAGCTAGTTTGGCTCAGTGGATAGAACATTGGCCTGTGGACTGAAGGGTCCTGGGTTCAATTCCGGTCAAGGGCACATGACCAGTTTGTGGGCTTGATTCCCAGTAGCGGGCGTGCAGGAGGCAGCCAATCAATGATTCTCTCTCATCATTAATGTTTCAATCTCTCTCTCCCTCTCCCTTTCTCTCTGAAATCAATAAAAAATATATTTTAAAAAATAATAAAAATATATTTTAAAAAACTTTTAAGAATGTTAGTACTTGCTCTTCTCCTTGATTTCTGCAAATGAAGTGTTTTGCTATCAAACATGTATAATCAAAAGAATCACCTAGGGTGCCTATTAAAAAGAAAATCCTGCCGAAACCAGTTTGGCTCAGTGGATAGAGCGTCGGCCTGCGGACTGAAGGGTCCCGGGTTCGATTCTGGTCAAGGGCATGTACCTTGCTTGCGGGCACATCCCCAGTGGGAGATGTGCAGGAGGCAGCTGGTCGATGTTTCTCTCTCATCGATGTTTCTAACTCTCTATCTCCCTTCCTCTCTGTAAAAAATCAATAAAATATATTAAAAAAGAAAAAAAAAGAAAATCCTGAGATTCACTCTAATTGTGATGAATCAGAATTTCTAAGAAACAGATCTAGTTATAAATCCTTTTAACAACTGTCCTTGGTGATTTAAGGTAAGGCAACTTCTGGAAAAACTATTATTGGGCCAAATTGCTGAAAGAAATTTGATTGCTGAAAGAGAACTGACTCTTCTTACACAGAAGAAATTTTTTCCTTTACTTAATTTAATCTAAGAAGAAAACAGATTAAATAAAAATTTTATACAATGTTTATTAAGTATCCCAGCATTTTCCCAAGAATAGAAAGAAATATAGGGTTAAATAAAAAGGAGAAAAAAACATAACATTTTGGTGAAGACTTTAATTAAATAAAATATACTGTGGTTTTCTAAGTATACACATATCTAATTTTAAATTATTTCCACTTGAAATTTATGTAATACTTATTGATATAGTTACTGAAGCCATTTACAGATTAAAATGAAAGAAAGAACTTCCAGAGTAGAAATCAGGGAAAGTATGATAGAAACAGACTTGGCATAGAGCAGGGTTTCTAAACCTTGTACTACTATTGACATTTTTGGGCTGGATAATTGTTGGGGGAAGCTGTTCTATGCATTGCAGGATGTTTAGCAGTATCCCTGTCTCAACCTACTATGTACCAATAACATTCCACCACCAATTTGAGCCACCCAAAAATGTCTTGAGACATTGTGAAATGCCCTTAGGGAGAAAATCACCCTCAATTGAGAACCACTGGTACAAGAGTAAAAAATATTGGCATACCAATTGAAAATGTATTTGAGATGGTCCAACCGTCTATTGATTTTTAAACTAAAAACACAACAGCACAGGGATGGGCTAGAAGGAATTAGTGGGGGGAAAAAGGAAACATATGTAATGCTTTCAACAATAATCCTATAGAATAAAAGGCTAATATGCAAATCGACCGAATGGCAGAACTACTGATAGCTATGATGCTCACTGACCACCAGGGGAAAGACGCTCAATGAAGGAGCTGCCCCCTGGTGGTCAGTGTGCCAGAAGCCAGACTCACAGCTGACAAACACAGTGGTGGTGGCGAAAGCCTCTTCTGCCTCCAGGGCAGCACTAAGAATGTCTGACTGCCGGTTTGGGCCCGCTCCTCGTGGGTAGTGGGCCTAAGTTGTTAGTCGGATAACCCCCAAGGGCTCCTGAACTGCGAGAGGGTGCAGGCCAGCAGTTCAGTGCCCTCCCGGCAGGCCGCCTCCCAAGAGTGCACAATTTTCATGCACTGGGCCTCTAGTTAAAAAATAAAAAACATCCCTAGCTGGTTTGGCTCAGTATATAGAGCGTCGGTCTGTGGACTGAAAGGTCCCAGGTTTGATTCTGGTCAAGGGCACGTGCCCAGGTTGTGGGCTCAATCCCCAGTAGGGGGCGTGCAGGAGGTGGCCAATCAGTGGTTCTCTATCATCACCGATGTTTCTATCTCCCACTCTCTCTCACTTCTTCTCTGAAATCAATAAAAATATATTTAACAAATAAAAATAAAAAACAACAAACAAAAACCAGGTAAATATTTTAAGCCTACAAAAAAGTACAGAAAAATATATAAAATAAAATTATGATCAAATTGCATTTGTGTCATGTTTCAATTTTTGTTGTTATAAATAAATGGTTAACAATTGGTAAGAATTTTAGAAATTTAATTTTTAAAAGATTAGTGGTTGTATATTAAACTGTATTTAAAGGCTATCCTATCTAATAAAGAGGGAATATGCTAATTGTCCTTCACACCATCGGAAAGATGGCCACATCCAGACAATAAGGAGAAAATATGCTAATTGACTGCCACGCCCTCAAACATGGCAGCGCCCACAACCACAAGATGGCTGTCAGGAGAGAGCAGTTGTGGGCGATCAGGCCAGCGGGGGAGGGCAGTTAGAGGTGACCAGGCCAGCAGGGGAAGGCAGTTGGAGGCAACCAGGCCTGCAGGGGAGGGCAGCTAGGTGGGGACTAGGCCTGCAGGGAAAGGCAGTTAAGGGCAACCAGGCTGGCAGGGGAGGGCAGATAAGGGTGACCGGGCCGGCAGGGGAGCAGTTAGGCATCGATCAGGCTGGTAGGGGAGTGGTTAGGGGGTGATCAGGCAGGCAGGCAGGCAGGCGAGTGGTTGGGAGCCAGCAATCCCAGATTGCGAGAGGGATGTCCGACTGCCAGTTTAGGCCTGATCCTAAACCGGCAGTCGGACATCCCCTGAGGGTTCCCAGATTGGAGATGGTGCTGGCTGGGATGAGGGACACCCCTCCCCCGTGCACAAATTTCATGCACCGGACCTCTAGTAGTTAAATGATGAGAGATCTGCAACATATTCCTCAAAATTTGGACTGAAACAAGGAACATATACAATAATTCATTACACACAGAAGATTAAGTCATTAGGAAAACAAATTTGGCAAAGAAAAATGTGAAGTTTAAAAATAATTTTATCCTAAATTTCTAATGATATAAATAAGATTTTTCATTTTGTAATAATACATTCATATGCTCCATAAAGATTATTAAGGACCAATTTTCAGTTGAATGTGATGACTAAAAATGAACAGAAGACACAGTTTTAGCAATTTTGGGTGTAGTCTCAGCAGTATTAAAACATGTTTTAACCCAAATTTAAAAAAAATGAGCAGGAAGTTATTCTGAATGATTCAGTAAAGTGGTATGTTCACTAAGGCTAGATAATTAAATGCCAGCATGGGTCTAGCTCCTACACTACAAAAGTTTTAAACTAAGTGTTAATAATGGCAATTTAAACAAATGTTTAGGATTACAATGTAAAGGAAAAAAGATCTCCTTGATCTCTAAAATGTTCAAACATACAAAGATGTTCTCAAAATATTCTTTTACTAGAGGCCCAGTGCACAAAATTCGTACACTCGGGGGGGGTACCCTCAGCTCAGCCTGTGTCCTCTTGCAGTCAGGGAGCCCTTGGGGGATGTCGAACTGACAGCTTAGGCCCTCTCTCCACGGGGAGCAGGCCTAAGCCAGCAGTCGGACATTCTCAGCACTGCCGTGGATGTAGGAGAGGCTCCTGCCACTGCCAGCATGCTCGCCAGCTGTGAGCCTGGCTCAGGGCTTCTGGCTGAGCAGCGCTCCCCCTGTGGGAGTGCACTGACCACCAGGGGGCAGCTCCTGTGTTGAGCATCTGCTCCCTGGTGGTCAGTGTGTGCCATAGCGGCTGGTTGTTCTAATCAATTTGCATATTAGACTTTTATTATTTCTTACATAGGATAATATTAGTAATAACAGTTACCACTTGTTGCCTACTCTGTATCAAGCACTGTTACTAGGCATTACATTTAAAATCTTCATAACAGTTGTTGACATTCCCATTTTGCAGAGGAGGGTAAGAAAAAGTATCTCCTCTCCCCAAGGCAGACAGCAAGTAAGTGGCAGAACCAGGGTTTCAATTCAGAATTGACTGGTTCCAAAATCCACATTCTACTCAATTCCTAATGCTTATATAATGTCAGTATTAGCCTGTAGTTACCCAATTTTGAAAAAAATAATTTCTTCTATACTGGAATGAGTAATAAACTTTAAAACCAAATGTCATAAAAATTTAAGTGGCACTACTTAAAAACAAATACTTTAGTGTGGAGGCTACAGTAATGGCAGTTCTGAAAGTGGTGGTCTTAAAAAATTATATTTTCCATAAAGAAGGTAGCTGATCAGTGATTCTCATCATTGATGTTTCTATCATTCCCTCTCTCTTCCTCTCTGAAATCAATAAAAATATATTTTTAAAAAATTATCTGAGTATAATATCCTCAGGCCTGATTTGTTCTCTGTTCTTTATCGCCCTCAGACATATATTATAATTTCTGATAATTAAAAGAAAAATAAATGAAATACCATTGGTAAAATCAGTGAGTAAGATCATTGTCCCAAAATGTTATAATCGTTTAATAACGAGTTACCTAATTCCAGGGCTAAAGCAGGTAAAAGATTATGATATTTTTAGCCAGAGAACTATTATACTTTTGTTATTGGAAAATAGTAAACTACTTTTTATAATACATACTACTTACTTTTATAAGTGTAGACACCACTTCAAATGATCCAACCACCAAAAGTAAAGGGGCTATTACAATGAGAGGAAGTAATGAATATCCTATAACTCCAAGAACTTGGCCATATGCAACCTGTGAATTTTTAAATTTTTAAATAAATGTCACAGAAATCTAGATATTCATTTAAACCAATATTGAACATTACATATTCTTTGTTATACTTTTAATAATGTGAGAATTAGGAAGAGATCATGACGTATTATACTCATCTTATTTCAAATTTCATATACTGTGCTATGTTTTTTCCTATGCATACATACTACGATAAAGTTTAATTTGTAAACTAACTAGAGTAAGAATACTAGTAACAACAACTTGCCCAGCCAGCATGGTTCAGTGGTTGAGCACTGACCTATGAACCAGGAGATCACAGTTTAATTCCCAGTCAGGGCATATGCCCGGATTGCGAGCTCGATCCCCAGTGTGGGGTGTGCCGAAGGCAGCTGATCAATGATTCTCTCTCATCATTGATGTTTCTATCTCTCTCTTCCTCTCCCTTCCTGAAATCAATAAAATATATATATATATATTTGTTTTTTTAAAGAGTAAAAATAAGTAACAATAAAATAGAACAATTATTAACAATTCTAAACTGTTATAAAAGTTATGTGAATGTGGTCTCTCTCTCTGATCTAATACCCTAGTACAATACACTAAATGACTAATAAGTAGGTGAATACTGCATGGAGGATGAATCCACTCTCTGCATGGGTTGGCAGAAGATTTCATCATGCTACTCAGAATACTATGCAATTTAAAACTTATGAATTGTTGCCGAGACCGGTTTGGCTCAGTGGATGGAGCGTCGGCCTGCGGACTGAGGGGTCCCGGGTTCGATTCCGGTCGAGGGCATGTACCTGGGTTGCGGGCACATCCCCAGCGGGAGATGTGCAGGAGGCAGCTGATCGATGTCTCTCTCTCATCGATGTTTCTGACTCTCTATCTCTCTCCCTTCCTCTCTGTAAAAAATCAATAAAATATATTAAAAAAAAAACTTATGAATTGTTTATTTCTGTATTTTTCCATTTAATATTTTTGGATGGCAGTTGCTAACAGGTAACTGAAACAGCAGAAAGCAAAACCACAGGTATGAGGGAACTAGGGTACTTGCAAAAATATAAAATACCACCACTCTTCTAATGCTTTTGTTTTGCAAAATGTTATTTTTTTTAAATGTATTATGTTAAAGTGAATCTAGTTTAATTTTTAATTTTATATGAATATATTTTTAAATTTTATATTTTAATTTATAACATGGTAAATATAATAAATATAACACACATTAAGAAATCTCTTTGGGGACCTGAGATCAAAAACTTTGAGAATGCTGTAACAGAGAATAAATTGTATGGTTCCCTAAACAGCTGTCAATTACTTATGAGTGAGATGGGATCTTTTCTTTCCACTTCCTTTCTTATAACATTATTGAGTATATACAATACTAATATGTTGATCCTCTTAAAGAAAGGAGCATAAGTTAAAAGCAATTCTGGAACAAAAAATACTAGTACTTATGATGAATATAGCCACTGATGGCATCTGCAGCTCAAAAATAAAGATTACCATAGAAAACAAAGGCTATTTTCAAAATTAACCACTTACCTCTCCACCAAGAACTCTGGCCAGTAAGAAAATAGTTAGTGAACCAAATATCCAAATAGTTATAATCCATGATACCACCTAAGGGGGGAAAAATTCATGCAATTAATTCTTTGTACCAAATAAGCTGGGAAGTTCCTAGGAACTCAATTACCTACCATATAAGATAGGTTGGTATACCCAATTTCAGGTCATAGACAGTTTGTTTGGTTTCCCAGGTATCTTTACAAAACTTAATAAGAATAAAAGGTGAATGTAATTTTAGATTCAAATTGAAAATTTAGCCCCACTGGCATGGCTCAATCGTTAGAGCTGACCTACAAACCAGGAGGTCACAGTTAGATTCCTCAATCAAGACACATGACCCGGTTGTACCTTTATCCCCAGTGGGAGAGCATGCAGGAGGCAGCTATTTGCTCTCATCATTGATATTTCTATCTCTCTCCTTCTCCCTTCCTTTCTGATATCCTATATAATGAAAGGGCAATATGCAAATTGACCCTAATGGCGGAACGACCTGGAATGACTAGTTGCTATGATGCACACTGACCACCAGGGTGCAGATGCTCAATGCAGGAGCTGCCCCCTTGTGGTCAATGTGCTCCCACAGGGGGAGCTCCGCTCAGTCACAAGCCAGGCTGATGGCTGTGAGCGGAGCGGTGGTGGGAGCCTCTCCCGCCTTCTTGGCAGTGCTAAGGATGTCCGACTGTGGCTTAGGCCTGCTCCCCTGGGAGGTGGACATCCCCTGAGGGCTCCCAGGCTGCCAATGGGATGTCTGACTGCCAGCTTAGGCCCAATCCCCTGGGAAGCAGGCCTAAGCCAGCAGGTAGACATCACCCGAGGGGTCCTGGACTGCGAGAGGGCGGAGGCCTGGCTGAGGGACCCCCCTCCCCGAGTCCACAAATTTTCATGCACCAGGCCTCTAGTATTTAATAAAGTATAAAAAAAAAATTTAGCAATGATCAATTGCCTAAGGACACATCAGTACTTCAAGAACTATAAAAGATTACTGTAAAAAGAGAGTTTACTCCCAACCTACTGATTTTCACCATCCTGCAAGGAAAATTCATCCCTGAAACAGGTTACCAATCTTCTTGGGAGGTCTTTAAAGTTTATATTAATCATACATTTATCCAAGTAATAGAATTAAAGACATTTCAGATCATTTTGACTCCTGAGGCTTAGCATAATAATATGTGCATACATTACCATCTTCTGTTTACTTGGAGTCTAGAAATAATAACACCCCAGCAGCTACATAAGCATTCTTATTGCCCAGGGTCTGGTTTCTAAATATCATTCCTTAATAAAAGGAACTAGGGCCGAAACCGGTTTGGCTCAGTGGATAGAGCGTCGGCTTGCAGACTGAAAGGTCCCAGGTTCGATTCCAGGTTCGATTCCGGTCAAGGGCATGTACCTGGAAATCCTGATTTCTGGGCCTCATCCTCCGGAAATTCTGTTTCTTTGTTACTAATGTTGTTGCCCCACCCCATAACAAAGAAACAGAATTTCCGGAGGATGAGGCCCAGAAATCAGGATTTTAAAAAGATTCCCAGGTGATTCTAATGTGCAGCTAAGGTTGAGAACCACTGCCTTAGAGAAATACCTGATTCCAGGGCTGGAGCAGGTAAAAGATAAGCCCAGAACACTTTGTAGAGTCAGAGGAAAGAAAGTGCTCGAAAAAGGATGGGAATATTTTGAAAGGACACTGAAGCTAATCTGAAGGAGCTCCAAATGACTAAAGCTGAAACAATCTCAGGAGGAGGGAGTGATCTGTGTATGTTGTGTTTTGATGATGAAGGCCCTGAAAGTAGGACAAAGTATTATATAAAAACAAATACTTGGGGCGGGGGGTGAGGGTGGGAATGGGAGATATCTGTAATACTATCAACAATAAAAAATATATATATAAAAAAGTAAAACAAAAAAAAACACCCCAAAACAAATACTGATGGAATCCCTACCCTCATTTATTAAAATGTCTATTTTAAAAAACAGAACTAAAAATGAGAAAAAGGTAAGAACATGATTATGAATTTTGTGTTTACAACTCTTCATCCCTTGGGGAAATCAGTAAGGGCATGGGCAGCCATTTTGGTAACTTCTGGTCAGAAGGGATTAGTTCCAGCCATTTACCCCAGTCACTGTACAAATATTAATGTTTTCTTTTCTTTTTGGTTAATCCTCACCAGAGGATATTTTTACAGTGACATTTAGGGAGAGTAGAAAAGAGAGGGAAAGACAGAGAGAAACACTGATGTGAGAGAAACACATCAACTGGTTGCCTCTTGCAGGAGCCCAGACCAGGGCCTGGGCCAGGGAGAAGCCTGCAACCAAGGTACGTGCCCTTGACTGGAATCGAACCTGGGACCCTTTGGTCCGCAGGCCAATGCTCTCTACCCAGTTAGCCAAACGGGTTAGGGCCAAGTATCAATATTTCCTATGTGAATGATAATGTGGAAAAGTTTGAAAAGCATTAATGTAAGGTACTTCCCACATAATTAAGAATAGTTCTAGGAGCCTGGCCTGTGTGGCTGTTTCTGAGCATCAAACTATGAACCAGCATGTCATGGTTCGATTCCTGGTCAGGGCACATCCCTGGGTTGTGGGCTCGATGGGGGCATGCAGGAGGCAGCTGATCAATGATTTTCTCTCATCATTGATATTTGTCTCTCTCTCTCCCTCTCTGAAATCAATAAAAATATATATTTAAAAAAATAGTTATAGAGATGAACAATGAGAAATAATGCATGGCGGTAAAGCATTTCTCAAATGTAATGTCCTATGATAGTTAATATTTGGCTATCTTTAATTTTTAAACTCCTGAAAAATTTAGAATTTACATAAAGTAAGATATACTTACCCTAAACTGTCCATATAATGATATCATGGAAAAGAAAAGGACAACAGCCAGAGGACCCCAAAAGTCAGGATTGTCTCTCACCACTTGTCTATTAAAACCAAGTGATGGCATTGGCATCAAAACACATCGGATTTTGTAGTAAATATCCTTCAGATCGATATCCAATTCTTCCCTATAATTGTAAAATAAAAAAATTTAAAAGGCACACTTGTGAATATGGAGACATCTGTAGTAGAACTTATATCTGTATCTATATATATAAAAGGCTAAGCAACCATCTGACCGGTAGCTATGATGCGCACTGACCACCAGGGAGCAGACGCTCAATGCAGGAGCTGCCAAGCTGTGGTGACTTGGCAGCGGTGGTTCTTGGGTGATGCACCTGGAACAAGAGAGGAGGGAGCCTAATTCTGGGGTGCGTCACCCGAGAACCGCTGTCTCACAATCCAGAACCCCTCAGGGGATGTCGGAGAGCTGGTTTCGGCCTGATCCCCGCAGGCCAGGCTGAGGGATCCCACCCGCCAGAGGGACCCCACTCACTCTACAGACAACCTTCGAGCCTCATTGGCCCAGATGCAGCCGGCTGGGGAGGGACTGCCGAAGATTGGCTCCAGGGCGTGTCTGGCCAGCCTTCCCAGTTCCACCCCTGCTGGCCACCTTCTAATTAATTCCTTTCAATGTACACAAATCTGTGCACTGGGGCACTAGTTTAAATATAATGGCATAGTCTCTACAGGTCAACAAAGCATTTCCATTTGAAGTACCATATTTCACTGATTCCAAGGTATGCATTTTCAGCATTTAAACATCTCTAAAGTTGGGATGAATCTCACATTCGCTGGTGTCTTACAATTATGTTAGCCTGAAGGGAAGCCAAGTGTTTCCAAGAACTGCCTTTCCTTTTGCCAGTCTTCTAAAGGCACTACCAATTTGGGACTTTAAATATAATTTCCTGCTTGAGACTTTTTTGGACCGTACACATAACTCAGACTGCAATCCTAGATGAGAACTGGTACAGGGCTTACATTCTCAGGGGAAAGTTTTCGTCCAATACCCCATCCAGTGCCAAATTGAGAAAAATAAACTCCCCTGCTGTCTCGTTTTGTATGTATGGTGGGTTATTTCTTTTATCTTTATACCAAGGAGAAAGCCCTTCGATGTCCTCAGCTTTATGCTGTCTTAAGCAGTTTTTCTTTCTTATTGATAAATATAACTACACCCTATAATCCATAGTATCTTATATTTGATGAAATATGGTATATCAACATAGAAATAAGATGTTTTAGCACTTCATCTATCAATAATTACTACAGAGAATAACTTGGTAATACCTCAATTTTATAAAGCTATTGGTTCTTTTCAAAATTGTTAAATTCTTCAGATTTTTTCCAAGTGATAACATAGTCATTAAGAAAAAAAAAAGTAAGTATCTCTATAGTCCTCAGTGGTAGCTTTAGAATTTCTATATGGGAGACATTTGGGAGTGATAATCTTTTTTTTTTTTGGTTAATCCTCACCCAAGGATATTTTGCCATTGACTTTTTAGAGAGAGTGGAAGGGAAGACAAGAGACAGAGAGAGCAACATCCATGTGAGAGACACATCAATTGGTTGCCTCCCTCATGTGCCCCGATTAGGACGGGGAATCGAGTCTGCAACCAAGGCATGTGCCTGTAACCGGAATCGAACCCAGATTCCTTCAATCTGGTGCCGACACTCTATCCACTGAGCCAAACCGGCTAGGGCAATCATCTTTTTGGAACTCTTAAATGGTCTTAAACTGAATTTCCACAACAAGCAACCAAGTGGTCTGCTTTTTTAGACTGCACATTAAAAAAAAAAAAGATTGTTACGTTTACTTAAGATAGCTATAGGCCGGGAGAACCAAGATGGCGGCATAGGTTAACGCCGGAGTTTGCCGCCTCAAACAACCATTTCAAAAGTGAAACTAAAAGACGGAAGGGACATCACCCAGACCCACAGGAATGCTGGCTGAGTGGAAGCCCTACAACTAGGAGGAAAGAGTAACGCATACGGACACTCAGAGGAGGCGCAGTGCTTAAGTCAAACGCTGAGGTGCAGAGTGCGCAGAGCGGGCTGGGGCGG